CGGGTGCATGATCTTCACCAGCTGGCCCACTGACTTCGCGGTGGGCATCCGGACGAGGCGCAGCTACATCAAGTGGCTGGACCACAACCTGTAGGGGGTCCGGCCCGGGGGGCGCGAGCCCCTCCTGGCCCTCCGCTCCTGCGTGGGAAAGAAAGGCGCTTTGGGCTGGCTTCGCTCTCCTCCCGCCCGTTACCTGTGAGTGATGGATCTCTGTTCCTTGCAGACTGTGCGATAACCTCATTTTTTAATGAATTGAACTAACTCAGCTGCAGACACATCTGGATTTGGTTCCCGAGCGGGCCAGTCTCTCTGCTCTTGTTGTAGCCAGCGACTGCTCATACCCACAGCTGCGGAAAACAGAACTGGGAGTTGGGCTGGTCCTGCCTTCATAAGATGTTCTTTTCAGAAGAAATTCTTCCAGCTGTGGATGACATAATGACCTTTAATAAGTTAAGAAAATGTGTGCTCTTCTTCAGCTTTGCTAGAGGTTACGTTGGGCTCAGAGCAGTGTTGAATGTGTGCACTTTCAGGCCAGGGTGGGGACCAAGTGCCCTCTGTTCTGTGTGAACAGATGGTTTTGTTTCCTATGGGAATTTCCGCAAAGGCTTTCCAGCAAGGACAAGTTTCTCAAAAGACTTTCCTCCTCTAGGGTGTTAATTTTATGAGATATCTATAAGTCCAGTTGGATTATGATGATACTTGAAAGTTACTTTCTACTACTATTAGAAAATACAAAGTTGCATGCACTGGATATCTATACATCGTTAAGTTTTTGTTGTTTTTTGGTTATGCCATCTCCTTGGGAAGATCTTTTGGGAACAAATTTATTTAGATTTAGAGTAAGTTTTCCGTTGTAGAACAAGTAAAAACAAACAAATGAAACAACCTGTTGTCTCACATAGAAATACTTCTGACATAAATTACCAAGAGCAATGTGTATATATTTGGCATAGTCAGAAAAAAATATATTTAATATTAGTTTAAAAGTATGAAAAATACCTTTAGAAGGTCTAGTCTTTTCTTGAAAATTCAACTTTTTCTCTTATGTGGCTTTAAAATGGAGCTATTTTGGTATAATATATTGTTTATTTTTAAAAATTATTGAATGTTAATATACATAGCTATCCAGGATTTTTCGGAAAGACATCGTAATAATTATTTAAAAATCATGGTATTTTTCTTAAACTACCTTAGAGTTTAAAAAACTTCCTTAGAGTTATATCCACATGGAATTTTATGGAAAGAGAGAAAATAGCCATTAATACTGCTGTACCTTAAGGCATACCTATTTTCATGTTTCTATGCATAATCGTGTTAAAAATAATTAGAACTATGACCACACTAGTAAAGTCATCCAAGTTAATAGTTTCATAACCAAGGCAAGACTCACACTCTGGTGGGCTGAGGAATGCAAGTTCATATTCTGGGCGAGGACGTGCCGTCACCGGTGCCTGGGTCCCTCCTGTCCCCTGCCAGCCGGGTCTGGAAGTTTCCCTTCACTTGAAGTCTTCACTGGAGCATCTCTGGCGTCGCAAGAAACTCCAGTTCTGATGTGAGCTGAGGGCCGCTGCTCTCCTTCCTGCCAGCCTTCCTCCTGCCCCATCCGTGCTCCCCTCGGGACAGCAGAGGGCAGCAGTGCCGCTGAGGAACGCTGCAGGCACTCGGAGAAGAAGGCAGGACCTTCTCACTCCCTTGGGGAAGGGGTGTTTCCCATTTCTGGCACTCAAACGGCAGAAGATTTGCATCCTTATTGTTCGTTTCTAGCGTGAGCCAGTAGCATTTCATGTGCAAAGCAGAAGTAAACACACCAGTGTGTGTGTGCATGTGCTAGTGTATTCACAGATGATGGCGAGGCAAGTCACTCGCCCCTCTGGACCTCTTCTCCCCCTCCCCTGAAATCAGAGAGCTGAATCACTTGATCCTTGAGGTCTCTTCCAGCGGCAAATTTTGTCCGACCAGCAAGTTGTATTGGCCTCTTCTTGTATGGTGGTTTTTTTGGTAGGTTGTAATTCCTTATACACAAACACATCATCAAGAATTTTCTTTTTTTCCTAAAAAACTGGGATTTTAGTTCTTACTCTATGATAGCGGCCCTCCTTATATGATACTGTTCTTTTTGACTCCACTCAAAAGAACCAATGTTTGGACCTCATTTGGGGGTCACGTGACCTACCTCTAAGAAAGAGAAATTATAGTGCAGGCACAAGGTTTCTTAAAATGATTTCCCCCCCAGAATTGTGAGCCAGATCCTGTGGTAATTACAGTCAATAAGTTATTCCAGATCTCTAAAAGGCGCTCTCAGATGAAAAGGGAGTGAAAGAAAAAGGGTCAACCACTGTTTCTGATGAAATACTTGAGTTTCATTGTTCTTTTAGTTTTAATCATATAAAAAAAGTTTGTGCTCTGCAGATTGATTTTTGTGTAGTATTATGGCTTTGTTTTGTTTTCCTGTTTTATGCAAAAGTTGACAATCTTTTTGTAATACTGTCTGTAAAATATGAACATTAATATATGAAGAAAAAACCTTGAAGTGCTGTGAAATAATAGTGGTATGTAAGTTAATCTTAATGTTTTGTCATTGATTTGTGAAGAATTTAAGATTATTATATAATTACCTTGGTGGATATATTTTATGCATGACCTTTTAATCTTTGACTTTGCTTATTTCCCACTGCATAGGGGAAGGCAGATTTTATGAAGGATTTTAGTAGCAAATATATTTTATAAAATGAAAATCCAGGATGGAGATGAGAAAGCATGTATCTGTTTTGAATCAGGTTTGGAAATAAAATGGCTCCATCTGGGATCGTGCCCATGTCATTTCCCCTTGTCTCATTTTCTGTTTCCTGCCTGAGACCATGTTCTCCTGTCTTCTCTCTGTGGTCCCGAGCCACAAGTCTGCTCACATCTTCTGCCCACTCGAAAACTCTAGCTGGCTTTCCATCACGGAGAAGGGGGTTCAGTGGCCTCCTTGATGACATCCATGTCTGAATACAGCGTGTGTTGCTCTGCCCAAGGGAAAGCTGCCTTGCACTGGCTGGAGTGTTCATAAAAGCCAGGCAGGCCTTGAAGCTTTTTGGGAACTGTCAATACACATCTTAGGAGAGGATGGTCATAATGCAAATGAGTTTGGGCTGAGTTGTTTCCGCCAAAGAAGTATCAATGCAATGAATGCCTCTGAAGACACATTCTTCAATTGACCCTGTCATCACAAACAAGTCAATAATTCCTCAGGTGAGTTTATTATGCTTAGTTTATGTCAACCTCATAGCATTTATTCAACTTTTTTTCTAGAGTGGGTTGTTTACATTGGTTCTAAGTGATCACATACAGGTGTATAAATTAGGTTTATCCTATTTCATTATAGTTACATCCATTTTCTTCAGCCAGACCTCTTGGTGTGGTCATATTTGCCTGAGAGGATCCATTAATGGTTGTAGGATCTCTGTTTGGGGGCACTTACAAGGTTTGACAAATAAGTCCATGAACTCATCCTAGAAAAAGTGCTCCATCCCTCATTGCTGAGTATCACTGCAGTCACCTTTGAAGTCCTCCCCTTTGGGAAGCTATGCACTGACGCCATCGCCTAGTCCACCTGTTGAAGCAATTTGGGAACTCTTTTTCTGGAACAGCCATCAGAGTTGTGGTCATATTACCCTCGATGTCTTGAATATCATCAAAATGTCTTCCTTTCACTATTTCCTTTATCTTTGGGTAAAGAAAAAAGTCACTGGGAGCCAGGTCAGGTGAGCAGGGAGGGTGTTCCAATACGGTTATTTGTTTGCTGGCTAAAAACTCCCTCAGCATTGCTGTGTGAGCTGGTGCATGGTCGGGATGCAAGAGCTCCTTCAGGACCATTTTTGCACACATCTTTCTCATGCCAAGATTTTCAGTTAAGATTTTCCTGTTTCTCTATTGCTGTTTATTTGGCCTGCTATGCTTCCCACAGTCAGTCAATGATTTTGATGCACAATTCGATACATTTTTGCCATGTTTTTGCCAATTCTGCTCATTGCTGGCACTCTTCATCAGTGACACATTCTATCCCCTCAGAAAAAACGAAGTGTTCATTTGCACACGGCCATTTTCTGCATGGCACTCTCCCCATCAACTTGGACTCACATGTCCCGGACTTCACTTCCACTCTTGCCAAGTTTAACGAGAAATTGAGTGTTGCTCTAATTCGAGCTCCGACATTCTCACGACGGCACACAAAAACAGGCGACAACAGTAATGCACGCCACTCAGCAAGACGCTGCCACACAGCAACACAAACACAGTTGTGAAACACTGACATGCCAAGATTGTAAAACCTTACTGAGGTGTTTATACAGTGCAGTCCACGTAACTGTATGGTGATAAGTTTGTGAACTTAATTGTCAGACCACATATGTAGAAAATCTTGGGTTTTAATAGATTTCCTGCCATTTTTTTCCTCTCTATCCCCCATGTTTTTTGTCTTTTTACAATGTATACTTTCTGTTGGACCCTCTCTTTTAACATCTGGAAGATATTAATGCCAGTCCCAGATTCCCCAAGTCCCCCAGACTGTAAATGTAAGATTTCTAATAGGTATGTGTGGCTCAGCCCTATCGCTCAGCACTGCCTTTGTGTCCTTGGAGCGTGCCAGAGGCGGCTGGCATCATTCACACGTGTCTTCTGTTTGGAAGGTCCATTTCAGGCTAAATGCCCCCTCCTCAGAGAAGGCTCCCGTAGCCAGGCTGTCAGCCCAAGCCAGCACCCAACCCTCCTGGCCACCACGGGCCCTCTCCCCCGATGTGGTGTTGATGGCTGCTATTTCATCTCACGTCTGTGGTATGTATTTACGTGCTTGTCTTCTTTTTCCCCATACTTAAATGTAGGCTCCACGGGAGGAGGGATGTGGTCTTGTCCGTTCCTACTTCTTCAGCCCTTGGAACAGAGCACACAGGGGACTTTCAAACATCCATGGGACGCTGCTTCTCCTGAGCGCAAAGCTGGCTTTCGGTGTTGCTGTGTGGCCGCTGCCGTTCCGTGACCGGCCCTCTCTTCTGTAGGGAGAGCAGAGGGAGAGGGCGCGGCCTGAGTGGTTTCTGTAAGACAGAAACTCAAAGATGATCTTGAATAAATAAATCCTCACCGATAACAAATTAAACTTATAAGAATCAGAGGCTGGGAGCAGTGGCTCATGCCTATAATCCCAGCACTTTGGGAGGCTGAGGTAAGAGGACTGCCTGAGCTCACAGGTTCAAGACCAACCTGGGCAACTTGGCAAGACCCCATCTCTACAATAAATCAAAAAATTAGCCGGACGTGGCGGCACACGCCTGTAGTTCCAGCTACTTGGAAGGCTGAGGTGGAAGGACCACCTGAACCCAGCAGGTTGAGGCTGTGGTGGCTGTGTGTGTGCCACTGCCCTCCAGCCTGGGTGACGGAGCGAGAGTCTGACAAAAAAAAAAAAAAAGCATTATTTTGCATGTATTTTCTTTTTAGAAGTTCATTTGATGTCAGGTAGTGATGTAAGACAAGTAAATACTTCCAAGCAAAATTAAACATTGAAAGTAATGGAAGCCCTGTTTATATATTATATATGTATATATATATATATATATTTATTTTTTTTTTTTTTTTTTGAGTCGGAGTCTCACTCTGTCGCCCAGACTGGTGTGCAGTGGCTGCTCGCGGCCACCGCAGCCTC